CTATAGAAATTAATAATACTCATTAATACTACTCAAATGAGTATTAATATCTTATAGAGCACAGTAACTTCAACGAATCACACCTTACTTCATACTATTAGCACCCTTATCAAAATTTATGATGAGCAGCCATGACTATAACATTATAGTCTGAATTTTCTCACTCCATCAAATAATCAAAATTGTGGCCGAATTCGTTCGCCCACTCGCATTACTCTTTACCTACTTTTATAATGGCACCAGTTGTTACGTAGACTACAATCATAAATAACGTCCGGCCATAATAAGTGGTCAGTTATGCATGTTCAATTATTTATTTGATGCGCTACCGTTGAGCCGTTGAGGGCACTTGCGGCGTCTTTATTGTTTCACTATCGAGCACGTTCATTCCTGTCGTTTTATGGCTGCAATTGATCGCTGGACAAAAAAATCGGTGGGTCCATTTGATTGGATAACTGTATTGATGCCTTCCTAACCCGGTGAATAGTTGCTCGGATTTTGACATTAAATGTTAGCGAAGTTCATTTGTGAACAGGCCTTACATAAGTTTGTCCTCAAGGTGGCTGGATCTACGATAGGCCGATCAAAAGCCTAACGTTGCTCAACTGGTTTCAAAGAAAGACACATCTATTGCACTTTGTCTAAATTGATATAACTTCAATATGATGAAAGACCAAATGCCATATAATTACTTAGTATTTCTTCGTTATTTGACTATTTATTAATTATGTCACATTGGATGGAGAGGTTTCATAACAAGACCCTACCGGTAGCCCAAAACGATTACCTCGTGACTGTGACTTGATGTGAGCAGACGATACCTCCGGGCGTCACCATGGGACTCTTAATGAGCCCTATTGCCCTTTCGTCAGTCCAGATCATAAAAAAGTATTCGAAACGAGAATGCATTCTTTAACCAACTTCACGAAGCGCTGACCCAAAAAGGGCAATCAGCCACAATCTCATCATCTTATAACCCTAATTTGCTATAATACTGGGGCATCTTTCTTGGGATTTACTTGATTTTGCTACTCTTTACTTGAAGACGGATGAGGGAAGGTGATCAAACTTGTGAACAGCTACCAGGTTTATTTCCTAAAAGACCTGTAATCTGATCCTGCAAGGCAACTGAATATAATTTCTTGTACCCTAAACTCATCCCTTACATCCATTTCTTTCTCTTAAGAAGCCAACAAAATGATGCTTTTTAGAGCGCAATTCGTGATTCCCTATAATG